CCGCTGGAGGGACAGATTCTTATATGACCAGACTCTTTATGACCAGTTACAGATCTACTTCATGGAATTAAAAACTATTCCAACATATTTGCAAGGTCAGGGCCTTTATCATTCTTCTGATCTCCCAATATTGCTTCTGTTGATTTTCATTAATGTTTTGTTTGGTGTGTCAGAACTAGATGAACACATTTGCTCTGATGATGATGGAAAGATATTCTGCTCAGATCATTCTTAGTGAATTGGAAGATCATAATATTCTTTTGTAAAATGAACAGTATGATGGCTGAGCATATCTGTTACTTAGCCAGCCTGCTAATCTGCCAATAAACTAATGTGGGCATCGCTACAGTGCTCCCATCAGGGAGTAACTAAGCATAGGGAGTAACTAAGTGTGTTGCTCACTGAGTCACATTCTCCTTGCCTCAAATACTGTCTAGAAGTAAACATCTTCATAAGCCAAAATTAACTCCTTCAGGTTATTAGGCAGCTTAGCAGTGTTTAGCAAACTGTTTTGCCAACTGAAGAAAAAAACCCTGTTTGCACTGGTAATATTCAGACTGGCCGGTGATGAACTGGAAGCTCAGTAAAATGTGAAGTAGGACTTAGACTCTAAAGTTTCCTGTTTAGATCCACAGTATATTAATTTTGAAGAAGTAGCTAAAAATCTTGAATATAATCAGAAGCAAAGAAAGAGTTGAGAATGGTGGTTTTTCAGTAAGGAAGTCCTAATCCTGTGTTCTTATTTATATAGCAAACACAGATAAATCCATTGAAAAATACTTCAGAGATGACTAAGAATGTTCATGTGAAGCTAAAATTGTTTTGAGGTGGACCCTGGAATTGAGAGCTGGCTTCTAAAAGGTTGTATTAGAAAGAATCTGAAATCCCAAGTAGAAATCAGTCTGCCCTTCCCAAATAGTTTCTCTTTTCTTGACAGTAAACCTACTTCTCAGGAGAGCAGTTCAGAACGAACAGTGCCTGACACAGAAGAATCAAGACAAAACAACTTTAGCTGCCCCTATGACTTGTAAATGAATGGTGTTGAGTGTATGTTGTGTCCTTGTTACACTTGGAGTGTCTGAGTGGTGCTTTTTGCAAAATTGAGTGATAGGTCCAAACTGACAGATATATTGTAATTTGTACCAAGTAGATTCATAAGTTAAATAATAAGAACCTTATCTTTTATGCTTCACATCTTTTCCTGATTCATTCTATTTGTAATCACAAAGTTTGCTTTTTCCCCCATTATAAATGAAACCTTGTAATAAGAGAAACCAAAGATTTGGAAAACTGTAAAGAGGGCAAAAGCAAACCCACCCAAAGTCCTAGCATCCACAAGCAATGTGACCTGCTATTGGTTGTTACTTTTTCCCCAAGTCCTTAACATATGCATTTTTTGATTCTATATATACTATTTATATCTGGTTTCACATTTTTACATAACTTCTAAACATAAGCTTTTTTCAAGCCATTGACAACTCTTTAGATACATTTTAATGATTATCTAATGATATGCAGTTTGCTTAGTTATTCAGCTAATGAGCACTTAGTTTGTTTCCATTTCTCCCCCTCACAATTGTCAGTCAGGCTGCAGTGAATGTCTTTGTTCTTTATCCCTCCTTGGCGTCTAGCTGAGAATGCATTCTGATAGTAACACCCCTCTGGTTCTGTTTTCAATAAGAATGTTTACTATGTGACTAGCATTTATTCTTTCCATTTAGCTTTCTTTTTTTTAAAAAAAAATGGCATAGCTAAAAGATTATAGGTTTTCTCACTATAAACATGAAAAGAAGCAGAACAATATCACACACTCTAAGATATACTGTAGGCTTATCTATGGCTTAATATTCCTTTACAATCCTGTGTTACTACAGGATGGAGCTATCTCGTAAGAAATCAGTAGAATTCACCCATGTAAGTCTACTATAAAAAGAACCATGCTTTACTACGCACAACAAACAACATAGCACAGAAACAGTTAAATAAAGGAATGTTTGAGGGGATCATTATAGTACTTTATGAACATAGCCTTTTATTAAGGAGTATGTAGAACTAATGTCATGCAAATTACTCTAAGCTATGTGTTTTAAGATTTTTTTAATTATTCATTTGAGACACAGAGATACAGAGAGAAAGAGAGCATGAGCAAAGGGAAAGGCAGAGGGAGAGGGAGAAGCAGGCTCTCCGCTGAGCCAGGAACCGGACGTGGGGCTCGATCCCAGGATCCTGGGATCATGACCTAAGCCAAAGGCAGACACTCAACCATCTGAACCACCCAGGCACCCCAACTCTGAGCTATGTTTTATGATATATTCCATGTAATTCAATTTTCATAATGGATTGGACTGTTCATTCCTTTGAAATTAAAAATCTCATTATGAACCTGTGAACCATTCTGAGGAAAATACAAAAACAAAGTGACCTTTAATGTCCTTTTCAAAGTCTGAAGTTCTATGAAAACAGTAAGGTTAGGAAATGACATGTAAGTTTTAATGACCAAAATGTTTGAAATGATACTAAAAATGTCTAAGTGATCTAATTCTGAATCCAATAAGATTCCAAGCTTTGATGGTTTTACCTCAAAATTCTTCACATCTGTCTGTTCTTTTTGCCCCTCTCCCCATCACTGCCTGTTCGTCCTATACCGCTGATCAAGCTCCCATATTAGGTAATGCATTTTGGCTTGAAATCTTGATATATGAAGACTTACAAATCAAATCCTATGTATGCACGACTGTATTAATACTTATACACTGTAAAATTACACAAAAAGAAATAAAAAATGTAAGGTTAAATATAAATACAGATATTTGAGAACTGCTTGATTTTATAATGGCATTGAATCAATATTAATTTCCTCACTTGTATGTAAGAGAACGTACTTATCTGTAGAAAGTACACACTGAAGTATTTAGGGGTAAAGGGATATCATTATCAGCAATGTACAATCAAATGATTTGAAGAAACAGAAAAAGAATGTGATAAGTGAAATAAAATGTTGACAACTGGGGGATGGTTAGGTGAAGGGCACTTTTTTTTTGTAGTTTGCAATTCTTTCAAAATAAAATTTAAAAGTGTGTGTGTGATGTCCAGGTGTTTCTTCTTGCCCCCATTGGATGGCCTTGCACCCTCCTTGGGTCGTATACCCCAATCTGGGATCAACTGGCCCAGACTATAGTAGTAATCTCCAGACTGTTCTCTTGGCCTCTTTTCCACACTCTTTTTGCCTAACCTCAACTCAGCGGTTAGTGACCTTCCTAAAGTCTAAATCTGATGATGTCACTCCCCTTCTTTAAAATCCTCTGTGACTCTAAGTTGACAAGAGAACATAGAAACTTTTTAGATGATCACGTGAGGCTTTTTCATTGTTTAGTCCCATTTCTTCATTAATGATCTATGTTCCAGCCAAAAGAACTACTCCTCGCATTCATAACTTTTATTGCAAATAGCGTTTCTTCTGACTGGAATGTTCTTCCTTTGTCTGCCTTTTCTACTCCTATTTAACCCTTGAGACTTAGCCTCAAAATTTCATCCTCTGTAGTCCCTGATAACCTTGCAATTAGCCACTTACCCCATAGCAACTATTTTACCACATTTTAATTATTTACTGTAGAAGTCTACCTCTAAATCCAGCTGCTAGAGACTAGTGATCAGACTTACTCATCTCAGTATCTGTTGCAACCTGATCCATCTGTGGCGGTTAGAACAGTGCCTAGTACATAGCAGTGAATGCCTGTGGGAAAAATGAATGAATGAGTAGAAACCCACACCAAAACTACTGCAGAAGGTTTTATGTATTCTGTCTGGTGGCAAATACTTTACAGAAAGACCTGCTTAAGGGAGGAGATGTCCTTTATCCAAGATCAAATATTCAGTGTCTGAGGATAAAATACTGAAGTTAAGATTATATTACAGCTAGTGATGGAACTGGTAAAAAGACCCAGCGTTTGAGTACCCCTCCAGCCCAGCAACCCTGACTGCTACATAGAGGAGGACTGGATTATGACAGTTATTTACATTGTGTTTTCACCCGTGGCAGCTGAATAAAATCAAAGATTTTCAGTTAGTTGATGTTTGCAGTTGACTTTTAGTAAGTCTTTATAATCTTTAGGATGTTTACTTTTATTCCGATTTCATTTAAACTTTCTAAAATTAGGAGTGAGTGTTGAATTTTACTAAATTCCCATCTAGTGTTAAATAGGAGTTTTCTCCTCTAAGTTATAATGTAATCTTAGATTGATTTATTGCTTGATTTTGGACCATTCTTGCATTCCTATACCATGCCTGCCATGGTCAAGACATTATTCTAATAGGAATGTATTATATCTGCTAATATTTCATCTGCTATTCTATATTTATCTTCATAAGAGTAAGAGGTAACTATTGTTTACATGTAAGTATTAACCCATGTAACTCTTTGTTATGTGTCAGAAATCATTCCAAAAAGGCATGGAGTCAAACTTACCTCATAGGTTGAGTTTAGATATGGAAGTTCTAGCAGTTCTACCAAGCCAGAAATCCTGATAGTTAACATTTATTGAGTGCTTATTTTGTGTCAGTTACTCTTTTAACTGCTTTATATGTATTAACCCGTTTACGTCCTATTGCATTCATATGAAACAGAACTTATTATCCCCATCTTGTGATTGAGGAACTGAGCCCTGGGATGCAAAGTCAGTTCAGGGTCACATGAGTGGTAAATGGTAGAGTCAGGATTTGAACTCAGGCATTCTGGCTCCAGAGTCTGTGTTCTTCACAATTAGGCAGTATTCCCCAGCATGAAACTGGGGGAAACACAAACCCCAGGAATTATTTGCTCAAAGATGGAATCTGATGTAATCATTGTACACATGACTATTTAAGCAATGTAGAATATATAAGAGAAATACCATAACTACATATCATCTATTAATATAGTACTATAGATTGGGGGAATAACTGTAAGTATTTAAAAACTTAAATATTACCAAAGTAACAACAATTTTTTTTTTTCTTTTCAGCAATCTTGACACAGAAGAACTCTGTGGTAAGTTGTGGTATTTTGCGGGGAGGGGTGAGCAATCAAACTCACTACTTGTTTTAGGATGAAAAAGAACATCATCTTATTTAAATTTCTATATACCCTGAAGTTAATGTCCTAGATTTGGAATATAGTAAAAGATAATTGAGATCTCAAGGGATTTATCTTCATCTGTGAGTTTTACTCAAGCATGTGTTTCAGTGGAGAAAGAGTTGGGGCTCATTAATTTGTTCATAGAGAAGAATTGTTTTGCACTTGGTACAATTAGTTTAACAATAGCAAATTCTCCCCTAGTTTGAATATATTTTTACATTGGTGTTTAATACAACTTCATTATTCTCTTCAAGTATATTGCCTTTACTACTGTTTTTGCAAAATTGACCCCCTTGACATATAAAAACAACTTTGTTCCATACCTCCCTAAACAGTTCTGGAATGTTAAATGTCACTTGCAAAACGAGTTTCAGTAGAGAGGAATTTCTACAGATTCCTGACTTACAGCCTCTTCATTTATTTTCTTCATCCTCATGGTTGGAAACAAAAGTCAAAGGCTAGGAATGTGGAAAAGGCCAACATTTCTGCAATTTATTTTTTGTTATGAGAAAATTATGAAGCATTCTGAGACTATTTAGTGTGAAACAGCTATTTTTCTCTGAACGCTGGGAGGTTTTAAGTTTTATGTTTTAAGGTAATTATATAACACCTTGTCCAAGTTTTATTGATTTTATTGTCTAGGTTTTTTAAAAATAATTTTACAGATTCTCTGAAACTCCTAATTGAAGTCACAAGCGCTTCCTGAACATCTTCTAAGTCTTACAAATTTAAAGTTTACCAAATCATCACAAAGTCCATTTTAGAGTATACAAGAGTGGTTATCTTCCATTTCATTAAATGGTAGAGTGACACTGAGTGAGGTTATGTCAGAAAAAAATATCAGAACACAAGGTTTCAATAACTCTGAACAACACAAATATGATAATCACCATAGGCTTTCCAATTTTCCAGTGGTCCTAAAACACTTTCTGTTCCTGCATAGTGTCTCTCTCCTATTCAGTGAAAAGAATCCAGCTGAAAAGCAAGTTGTTTATGCAGAAGCAAGGTTTCTGGTACCAAAGCAGGTCATGATTTTGTTAATTATGAAACACTAATAAAGAAAAACCAGGAAAGTCCTGACCTGCTTCTACACATAATCCAACCATGACCCATCCACACACGGGTATTAAACTGTGCCAAGTGGGCCAAAGGGCCTGTGGGGACTATGGCCACCAGGCTTTCTAAAGAATAGCAATCACTATAAAGGTCAAGTTGTGGTCCATTCTCATCCATGTGCAGATGGTACCTGCCAGTGAAGTGGGGAGATAAAGAACTGAGAAGATTATCTCAATAATTTTGTGAGGTTGGGAGACCCATTTGCCTCGAGTGTCTAGATAGGTCAGGCCAAAGTAATGCTTTCCTCAAATCATCCAGATAATTCTTTTTGTTTTCTACTCAACTTTGCCTGGGTAGGCATGGCTCATGAGAAAGCACACTGTTCTAAGGGCTTTTAACATAAGACGTTTAGTGGTTCTTTATTTGCTATGTTGCTTATGTATTGTCACTAAGGCATATTACATTATCCTCTCTTAGTATGATTGTGTATCTTCACTTAATCCTCTACAAAAAAAAATGTTTAATTTGTTTCTATAATAATAGAACTAGATTAGGAACCTACTCTGCATTTACTGGAAAAAGCTTTGACCATGATTTTCCACATAGTAGGGAACTAGTATATGGGGTGTTTTTTTGTGTTGTTGTTTTTTTTTTTTTAAGAGAGAACACGCATACAAGCTGGGGGAGGGGGGTGGGGCAGAGGGAGAGAGACAGGGACAGAGAGAGAGAATCCCAAGCAGCCTCCACTCTGAGTCAGAGCATGATGTGGGGCTTGATCTCAAGACCCTGAGATCATGACCTGAACTGAAATCAAGAGGCAGATGCTTAACTGACTGAACCACCCAGGCACCCCTAGTATATGGGGTTTTAATGCAACCAAATTGCTCTGTATTTTTAAACCCAGTGATTGTACTCCCAATCATATATTATAACCCTCCCCCTCTCTGTTCAAGAATATGCATTTTAATTTCCGGAGTATAGTTTCATGTCTTGTTATTTTGTAAATATAAAGCAAATATTTAAGTTGGATTCTAATCAAAACCAAATGCTTTCGTGCAAGCAAGTAAAATCTGTCAACTCACACCCCACACAAATTCCCCCTTGGGCATGGGAGGGATGGCACTTGATCAGTATGGAAAGCAGATTTCATGTGCTCTTTCACAGAAGCAGTTAAAAGGTCCAGGTATCTAAAACTTTCGTTCTGTTGCTTTTACTTAGTTTGTTCTTTTACTAAATTATGGACCTAGAAATCAAAAGCTATTAAAATAAAGATTTAGTTATGAAAATAATACTTAGTTTTTAAAATTTAATAATACAGAATTACATAGGCATTTAAGATGGAATGTCGGTCGCCTTTTCCCCCTCTCCCCTTTTTCCCTAATCTCTGCTGCTAACTGCTTGGAGCATCTCCTTCCAGATGTTTTTATTCATAAATTGACATCATACATATGCTGTGATAGATCATTTTTCCAACAGTGAGATCATACTATATGATCAGTACAGCTGCACACTGTTCGTTTTATTAAAAAGGCTGCACATGTGCTGCATTTACCTTCATTTTTTTCAATCAAATCCTTTTTTGTGGATTTTCAGGTTGTTTCCAACTTTTCCCTTGGACAAACAGCATTGAAGTAAATATCTTCATTTGTGTTATAGTCATACTCTTGTATGAGTTGTTCTATATGGTAGATGCCTGTAGGTATAATTACTTGGCCAAAGATTCTTCAGTTGGCATGCCCACCAGCAGTGTTGAGGCATGCCACGTCATTCACTCTTCCCATAATTAGGGAGGCCTGCCCAAATAGAAGCTTTAAGCCATATCTTATCAGTCAGTATATAACTCACTTACAACTAGGTTTATGTGTTTGAACTCTAGCTTTGAGTCTTTGGTTTTCTGTTTAGCTGTGATCTAAAATCTATCAGGAGTAAAATTATAATGTTCCTGACCCAACCCAGAGCTGAAGGATAGAGGCTGAACAAATGACCTCAGTGTGACCCCTGGGCAGTGCTGAGAGGTACCTTTGCCAGCCAAGTCGAATGCTGAAAAATCGGAAGTCACTATTCCTCTTCCAGACTATTAGAACTGTGGCTACCTGGCACATTTATAAAATCACCAAAAAAGAGGGGAACCTGGCTGACTCAGTCTCAGCTCAGGACTTGATCTCAGGGTTGTGAGCTCTAGCCCTGCGTTGGGCTCCATGCTGGCTGTGGAGCCTACTTAAAAAAAAAATAAAAAAAAATCGCCAAAAAAGAGATGTAAAACATTTTGCATGACACTGATATTCATTCTCTCAAAATAACCCACATTCTTAGATTCCCACCTGACACCTCTATTCAGAGCAAGGGTGTTCTCCCCACCGCTCTGTTCTCTGTCATCTCCGTATTTTCCTCCCAATCTAGTATACTGCTCGAGAAGCTATAGGGAGGTACGTACTGTAGGATTTTCATCTAAACTCATGAGAATGCTTTGTGAGATCAGGTCCCAGTGTGGCCTTGGTGGAGGGTATGGGGCTCTGGTTTTGACTTGAAATTCTTAGGCCAAACCTGAAAACACAACCACATGGAGGATTAAGAGGCAGTCTAGGAAAACAAAACTTGGTGATGTGACACCACCAGTTAAGTACAGTAGGGAAGGGAGAAACTAACCTTTGGTTAGCATATTATTAGCAAAGATGTTGCATTGAATTTCCACGAGGAGATAATTTGCTTTCTGATAGGCAACTTGTCGAATAAGTCTGTTTATAAATCATGCTCTATTCTCTTATAAAACAACGTTCAGACTCTTACCATTCAAAGATTCTTCCCTTAAACTGATGAGAATTGGTTGTCACACATTTCCATATGTGCTATACAATTCTGCTTTGCTCTTGCCCATGGAACTCACATGCAGTTTTCAATAAAAGATTTCTCCAGGAAATTATTCTAGTTCTCTGAGGACAAGAGTTTTTACTTTTTTCCCCACACAGAGCAAGGCAACTCTTTTTATTTTGTCTTTTGATACTATATCAAATCATATTATAGACTTTAAGAAAAAGTACCCTACACGCAAAAGATGTAAAAAGAGTTCCACATATAATGAATTCTTTGGGGACTGTCCTGAGACCATGCAAATATTCAGTATTTTATCTGTGCTCTGTAGATAGTGAGTTGAAGGGATAGATGTCACCCTGAGGGGGTGTCTCCGTCTTCACTCCTGCTTGGCTTCACTCTGACCCTTTGGGGCACATGTGAAATAAAGCTCTGAGCCCAGGCCTGCTCTGTGAAGCTGTCTCTGATTCCCTGCAGAAGGACTTCAGCATTCTTTGACCTGAAATTTTTTTTTTGGAGGGGGGATGATTAATCCAAAAATATCTTTATTTCACAGGAGGGTACTTCAGTGTGTGATCCGAGCTCTAATCCACATAACATTAATTTCACGTATATAACAATGATTTGATATTTGTTTATATTATGAAATGACCACTACAGTAAGTCTAGTTAACATCCATCACTACACAGTTTGTCTTGTAACAAGAACTTAAAAAAACAAATGATGCCCAAAGTTAGTAGAATGAAGGTATTAACAAAGATCGGAGCAGAAATAAATGAAATAGAGACCAAAAAGACAATAAATCAATGAAAGTTTTCTATAATGACTGCGCCAATTTACATTCCCACCAACAGTGTACAAAGGTTCCCTTTTCTCCATTTTTTTATAAAGATTTATTTATTTATTTATTTGACAGAGACACAGCAAGAAAGGGAACACAAGCAGGGGGAGTGGGAGAGGGAGAAGAAGCAGGCTTCCCGCCGAGCAGGGAGCCCGATGCGGGGCTCGATCCCAGGACCCTGGGATCATGACCTGAGCCGAAGGCAGA